GAGACCCTGTCTCAAAAAGACAAAAAATAAAACAAACAAAAAAATCAAACCAAAACAAAAAAAAAAAGTAATTTATCCATTTCAAATGTTGACTTATTTATCTGTAAAATGGGTGGTGGAGACTAAGAGAATCTTCACCAAATCCTTGTTAAGAGTTGGGGTGTGGGGGCTGGAGAGATGGCTCAGCAGTTGAGAACACTGACTGTTCTTGCAGAGGACCTGGGTTAGGTTCCCAGCACCCACATGGCAGCTATGAACTGTCCTTAACACCAGTTCCAGGGGAATCCAAAGCCCTCTTCTGACCTCCACAGCAATGCACAGCACAGGTGCACTCACATACATGCAGGCAATACACTCATACACATAAAATAAAGATAATAAAAAAATTTTTTTTAAATAAGAAGAGTGGGGGTGTGGAAGTGTAGGAGAATAGAGGGGTGGGAATGTCCAGAGGTCAACAGGACAACTTGTGGGAGTTGGTTCTCTCCTTCTACCATGTGGGTTCTGGGGCTAGAACTCAGGTTGTCAGACTTGGCAGAGGATGTCAGTTCTCACTTTCTACCTTACTGTGGGTTCTGGGGATCAAACTCAAGTCATCAGGCTTGGCAGCAGGTGCCTTTGTCCATTGAACCATCTCTCTAGCCCTTTTGTCAGGTTTTTAATAATTTACTCCACTGAAACCCACAAAAGCCCTGTGTGAGATAATTATTGTCAGTACCCTGCTCAGAGTTTCAGAAAAAGTTAAGAGATGTATAAAACAGCGGAACCACTATTCAAAAGCAGGTTTGTCTGCAAAAAGCAGGTTTGTCTAGAGAGGCCTTGCTCCTTATCAAACCATGTACTAATGCCTGCATTGACTTGTGCATGCTTAATTTATTCACTAGATGCAGCTTTAAAAAATACCTAGTAAGTAGCAAGACAGATTCCCTCTCTTTAAGGAACTCAAACCAGTAAGGTATGTTGAAAATGATGGTTTCTTTGACTCAGAAAGACAAATAGTATGTTTTCTTTCATATAGGGAATCTAGATTTTTTTAAGTTTTTTTTAAAAAAAGTTATTATTTTTATTTTATGTGTATGAGTGTATTGCCTGCATGTATTTAAGTGCATCTGTGTCCTGCAATGCCCAAGGAGGTCAGAAGAGGGCGTCAGAGCCCCTGGAACTGGAGTTACAGATGGTTGTGAGCCACCATGTGGGTGCTGGGAACCGAACCTGGGTCCTCTGCAAGTGCTCTTAACTGCTGAGCCATCTCTCCAATCTTGGAATCTAGATTTTCATATATGACATAAAAGTAGAAGGGGAACTAGGAGCTATTTGGGAGAGGAAAGGAACTGACAGGAGAGAAGTGGGAACAAGAAGGTAACGGGAGGGAGGAAAGACAAATATCACATTTTCTTTCACGTGCAGAATTAATATTTTTTCAAGAATTATTTTTATTATTTTTATTTTATTTGTCTGTGGGAGTGAATGTCATGTTGCAAGGGCACCCTTGGAGGCTAAAAGACTGTGTTGAATCCCTTGGAACTGAATTATAAGTGGCTGTGAGCCACCTAACATGGGTGCTGGGAACTGAACTTGGTCCCTCTGTAAGAGCAACAAGTGCTCTTAGCTGTCAAGCCATCTTTCTAGCCCTAGAATTTAGATTTAAAATATATAGAGAGGGCCGGGCATGGTGGCACATGCCTTTAAACCCAGCACTTGGGAGGCAGAGGCAGGCGGATCTTTGTGAGTTCAAGGCCAGCCTGGTCTACATAGTGAGTTCCAGGACAGCTGGGCTACAGGGAGACCCTGTCTCAAAAAAAAAAAAAGACAAAAAAATTATGGCTATCGATGAAAAATATATATATATAGAGAGAGATATAAAGCACTATGGCACAAGGGGTCCGTTTAGGTGGAGAAAAGGGGCCATCAGGGGGAGAAGGTGGGAGAAAAGGAGGTGAAGGGGAGGGAATATGAATAAACCATAGTGATATGCATACATGAAAATGTCATAATGAAGCCCGTTATTTGTACTCTCATTTAAAAAAATAATAAAAAAGAAAATGATGATGTTTCTATACACGGGCCAACTTGAGATCCACTCATTTGTACAATGCACACTGAGAATCCGCTATATGCTGGGCTCTGTGCCAAGCACTGGGAATAATTGAAAGACAAATACAGTACAGTCTAGTTATAATCTAATGGGATAGACAGGTATGTACATAAATTATGATAGTTATAAGGAATTCAGTTATAATAAAAATATGAAAAAAGCACACAGACTAGAAAAATTGAACTATGTTGGAGATGGGGGCAGTGGCAGAGACTGGATGTACTTTGAACTCTAGGAGCAGAAAGAAGTCCAGAAAATGTGTGGGGGCAGTATGGAAACTGTGTGTTTTCTAGGGGATAAGTGAAGGCTTTGTGAAAGAGATGGCATGGGGGGGGTCAGCATTTGTTCAGTGGGTTGAGATTGATCCTAGAGGCCAGGAAGCCAGCTGTAAGGAAATTATAGCAGGTCAAAGGGGAAGGAGGACAGGGACAGTGACAGAGACAGTAGGATGCAGTGGAAGGAGGATGCCAGAGAGGACTGGTTAAGGGTGTAAGTCAAATCAAAACCAAGAGTGATGAACTTGGATGACTTGAGGGATTGTAATAAGTTCAGGCCTTCCTTAAAACTCCCCAAAGAGAACAGGGTGGTGCCTTGGTCCTTTGAGGTGGGCTTTTTTGGATCTAGGAGCTATAGATAAACTTGGAGTAGCTGAACCATGTTACAAGGTTTGCACACTAGTGAACTTTAGAGCAACACTATGAAAAGACGGGCATGGGGCTAGAGATCTGGTTCAGTGGTTAAGGGCACTTGCTGTTCTAGTAGAAGACTGGAGTTCTTTTCCCAGGATTCATGTGGGTTGGCTCACAACTGTTCATAATGTAAAGTGAGGATTTTGTTCTGTGTTGTTTTGATGAGGACTTTGTACATGTTAACCATGCACTGGACCACTGAGTGACATGCTTAGTCCTCAGAGGTGAGTCTTGTGTGTGCTAGGCTGTGCTGAGAAACAATTTAGCACATTAATGGATCTGTTAGGGCTGCTCTAAGAGTCTCAGCTTAAGAAGGAAGGCTAGCCAGGAAGGTGGCTAAGAAGAAAGGTGGGTCATGCCTTTAGTCCCAGCACTCAGGAAACAGAGGGAGGCGGATCTCTGTGAGTTCAAGGCCAGCCTGGTCTACATAGTGAGTTCCAGGCCAGCTGGGGCTACAGGGAGACTCTGTCTCAAAAAACAAAACAAAACAAAAAAAAAACAAAAAAACAAAGGAAGGCTAGAGCAGGTGGTGCACATCTGTAATCCCAAATCTGTAGGAAGGAGGATCAGTAGTTCAAGGGCAGCCTCAGCTACAATAGCAAGTTGGAGGCTAGCTTTCACTATGTAAGACCCTGTCCCAAAAAACCAAAAGGAAGGGTACATGGGCTGGGGTGGAGCTCAATGGCAGAGTACTTGCTTAATATGTCTGAGGGAGGCCTGTTTCCATTCCCAGAAACACACTCACATATACATATACACACACAGAGGAAGATCATTCAAGAAGGAAGCTACCTGAAAGCTGCCTCTCCCACTGCCCCTCTCCCACAAGTGACAAGTGCTGTGCTGAAATGGAGGGGAGGGAGTCATTGGCTCTATCTGGGAATCAGAGAAGGCCTCCTAGAGGAGGTTAATTTTCTGCTAAACCTCCCAGGATAAGAACTTCTTCACAGCTGGGCTTGGTGGCACACGCCTTTAATCCCAGCACTAGGGAAGCAGAGGCAGGTGGATCTCAGTGAGTTCAAGGCCAGCAAACTAAGTTGCTCAGGGCTCTATAGGACAGGCTCTTCAAAGGAAGGGGGTTTAAGTACTTTAACAAGGCACTTGTAGCTAGATGGTGATGCATACCTGTAATCTCAGCACCTGGGAGGTGGAGGTTCAGAAATTCAAGGTCAGTCAAGGCTACATAGTGAGTCTGAGGCTAGTGTGAGATACATGAGACCTTATCTCAAGAAGAGGAAAAATGAGGAGGAGGAGGGGAAAGAAAGAAAAGAATTCTTTGAGTCCAGTAGGAATTCAATCTTCCCCCAGCTACGAGAAACACATCCTCTCAGAAATTGCTTTTCTAACCTCCTGCAGGGGTCGCTGCTGCCCTAGGCTGGGGCTGCTACCTCTGGACTCAGCCAATTTCTTCTAAGAAAACTGCCCGAGCAGTGGCGGAGTACCAAGGGGGCTGCAGGGTGGCAGCGCTTAGCCAATGGTATTTGCGGGGGGTGTAGTGGGCACTGATTTTTTTTGTTTCTGTTTCTGGGTCACAAGTTTATTAAAATAAAAGAAACTGTGGGTAAATGCTGCCATCTGTGCTGCCCCCCAACACACACACACACACACACACACACACACACACACACACCAAGTCAGGTCTCAGACTAGACAGACACAGGGATTGAAACTGCTTTACAGACACTCCAAGGACTTCACTGAAAACCCACACTCAAGTGCTTCATGTCTGCAAACCTCTGTGCTTACCCCTTAGCATCTCTCCTCAGGATGGTGAGGTGGGCCACTCTAGGAGGTAGAGGTGAAGACCCCTGAGTCTGCTCTGGGACAGGGAGGCCCCCTAAGCCTGAGTCCTGCTGTGGGGCTCCGTGCCAAGAGCCCCTATGAGCTGTGGCCTCAAAAGGGCAGCCGTGATTTTTTTCACATAAATATATCGCACTTAAATGAATTTAGACAGCATGACATCAGAGAGTAATTAAATTGGTTTGGGTTGGAATTCCGTTTCCAATTCCTGAGTTCAGGTTTGTAAAAAGATTTTTTTTGAGCACCTGCAGGCCTCTGTGTGTGTGTGTGTGTGTGTGTGTGTGTATGTGTGTGTGTGTGTGTGTGTATTTTCACTGGAAAGGATTCAAAATTAGAGGGAAAAAAACTGGAGCACACAGGCAGCATTACGCCATTCTTCCTTCTTGGAAAAATCCCTCAGCCTTATACAAGCCTCCTTCAAGCCCTCAGTCAGTTGTGCGGGAGAAAGGGGGCGGTCGGCTTTCTCCTTTCAAGAACGAGTTATTTTCAGCTGCTGACTGGAGACGGTGCACGTCTGGGTACGGGAGCATTTCCACTATGGGACTGGATACAGGCACACGCCCGGCGGACTTCAAGACGCTAAGACTGAGGAGAAAGCCCTTGCTGCTACTGCTGCCGCTGCTGCTTCTGAACATCCACTCCTTTCATGGTTTTTCCTGCCAAGCCAGAGGCACCTTCGCTGCTGCCGCCTTTCTCTGTGGTGTCATTCAGCGGCTGGCCAGAGGATGAGACTCCCCAAACTCCTCACTTTTTTGCTTTGGCACCTGGCTTGGCTGGACCTGGAATTCATCTGCACTGTGTTGGGTGCCCCCGACTTAGGCCAGAGACCCCCAGGAGCCAGGCCAGGGTTGGCTAAAGCAGAGGCTAAGGAGAGGACCCCCCTGGCACGGAATATCTTTAGGCCAGGGGGTCACAGCTATGGTGGGGGGGCCACCAATGCCAGGGCAAAGGGAGTCCCTGGAAAGACACAGGCCAAGAAGGATGAAACCAGAAAGATGCCCCCCAGAGCTGGTGGCCAGGAAACCAAGCCAGGACCCCCTCCCCAGACTAGACAGGCTGCAGCACGGACTGTAACCCCTAAAGGACAGCTTTCTGGGGGCAAGGCACCCCCAAAAGCAGGATCTGCCCCCAGCTCCTTCCTGCTGAAGAAGGCCAAGGAACCTGGGACCCCTAGAGAGCCCAAGGAGCTGTTCCGCCCACCCCCCATCACTCCCCATGAATACATGCTCTCACTGTACAGGACGCTGTCCGATGCTGACAGAAAGGGAGGCAACAGCAGCGTGAAGTTGGAGGCTGGCCTGGCCAACACCATCACCAGCTTTATTGACAAAGGGCAAGGTGAGGGGTTGGGGTGGTAGGGAGGGACATTTGCACACACCCAGGAGTTCCAAAGTCCTGAAGTGTGCAGGTGGGGTACAGTATATGTGTATCCAATTTAGGGTGGGCATATGGAATTGATCTCAAACATACCAGATCCAGGCTGTGGGCTCGTCAGTACTTGGGGAGGGAGTGCACCTAGGGATCACCAGATCTTGTTCCTGCCAGGTGCAGAGGGGGCACTAAAGCCCAGAGACAAGATCTACCAGTTGGTGGCAGTTGGAGACTAGAGTCCAAGACTCACTCTTGATTACTGAGTCAACCTCTCTGTACCTTGTGTGGGTTGACCACAATTTCCAAGCTCTAGGTTTTTCTCAGATAGCAAGGAGAAAAAGAAATCTTTAGGTTCCCATGGGTCTTCAACTTTACCCTCAGGTTAGGGGACCAAGGGGTGGGGGGCGGAGAATGTGTGAAGGCAGAGGGGGGCATATTTGGGAGTCATAGAAGGAGGCAGTTTGACCAGGGTCTAACTTACCACCGTGCCCCGGGGTCTATTTTCCCATATGTATACCTGCACGGGCATTGGACTGGATGATTTCTGAACCTTTCAAAGTGAAAACCTATCCTAATACTGTTGTTTCCATCAGTAACCTGGGAGAACACTTGGTTTTCCTTGCTTCTCCCTCTGTTCACCTAGTGTTACTGTCTTCTCTTCTCAGCTCACTGTGTTCTCAGCAAATCCCTTCCTCTTTCAGAGCCTTGGTTTCTCCATTGTGTGAAGAGATGGGTAGACTGCTGATGTAGCTTGCAGTTCATATGGAACTTTGGCTGGAAGGGTGGGGGAGGGGTCAGAGAGTGGGAGAGGCTCCTCATTAGAGCTGGTCTGTAGGGGAATGACAGGAGGTGGGGGAGGTACAGGAGGCAGCAGGTCTGGCTGAGGTGGGGGAGGTGGCCTGGCTGCCTGCCCAGCCAGGGAAAGCTGTGACCCCTTGAGGGCTCATAAAATAAGTCCTTATGTACCCCCCCCCAGCACTAAGAGAGCTTGGGGAGGGGGAGATGTGGAGTTTAAAGGCCTAATTAGTTACCTTCTAGAGAAATATATGAATGTTCTCTAATGGTAAATAGGCATTTAGGAAGGAGGGCATGCTGATTCAGATACTACTGAAGTTCACACACACACTCACATAGGAACACTCACACATACAGCCTTATATTTTATACACATGGTAAATGAATCACATACAAGCACACACATATCTTCTTATGTATTTGTATGGTGTCATACACACACACAGCATCATTCTTCAAGTACTCATTCAAACCCAAATGTACATACATATACCACTTACATATACATTAACATATACTCACAATTGAACCTCATGGCACATCCACATACAAACTGTGGAACATTCACACATTCAGTAATGGAAGACATGAACAACAAAATTATTAGACTGGGAAACCAAGCAAATTGGGTTTCAGACCAGCTTTGTTATTAATTTTTTGTGTCAAGTCAATTTACTACCCATCTCTGTGCCACGTCTATAACAAGAACACTAAGATCTTTAAGGTGTGAGAAGCTCAGCATGGGGTATAAAAATTCCAAGCTGCAGTTCTACCTCTGTTTTTTCTAGCTAGATGGCTTTGAGCAAGTCCTCCAATTTACTCTGAGCATTGGGTTTTTCCTCTTGAAATCTGAGTAATTTAAATGCACATACCACCTATCTTACATACTCAAGATATGCTAGATCATGGGTGGTGGTGGACATTGGTGGAAAGCAGTTATAAAGCTGATGGCTCTAATATATGTAGATCATTGAAACAAACACAAGAGTCACTCACACCTATCTTACATATTGGAGATATGCTAGATCATGGGTGGTGGTGGACATTGGTGGAAAGCAGTTATAAAGCTGATGGCTCTAAAATATGTAGATCATTGAAATAAACACAAGAGTCACTCAAATCATACATGGCTACACTCCAATTTGGTTGGCTGTGTAAGAAGCATCCTCATTTGGAAAAGGGCTCTTGGTGGTTGGGGTGTTGGTTTCTGTCACAATGGGGAAGAGGTTAAAGAGATCTCTTTTGAATGGGAGAGAGCTGGGTCCTCCCTGGAGGCCCAGAGGTTGGCAGGCTCCCTTGGTGAGGTGACAGGAATTGACTTCTGACTGCTCTCTTTAGATGACCGAGGTCCCGTGGTCAGGAAGCAGAGGTACGTGTTTGACATTAGTGCCCTGGAGAAGGACGGGCTGCTGGGGGCTGAACTGAGGATCTTACGGAAGAAGCCTTTAGACACAGCCAAGCCAGTGGTCCCCAGTGGCGGGCGGGCTGTCCAGCTGAAGCTGTCCAGCTGCCCCAGCAGCAGGCAGCCGGCAGCCTTGCTGGATGTGCGCTCTGTGCCAGGCCTGGATGGGTATGGCTGGGAGGTGTTCGATATCTGGAAGCTCTTCCGAAACTTTAAGAACTCAGCCCAGCTGTGCCTGGAGCTGGAGGCCTGGGAGCGGGGCCGGGTCGTGGATCTCCGTGGCCTGGGCTTTGAACGGGCTGCCCGACAGGTCCACGAGAAGGCCCTGTTCTTGGTGTTTGGTCGAACCAAGAAACGAGACCTGTTCTTTAATGAGATTAAGGCCCGCTCTGGCCAGGATGATAAGACTGTGTATGAGTACCTGTTCAGTCAGCGGCGGAAAAGGAGGGCCCCACTGGCCACTCGCCAGGGCAAGCGACCCAACAAGAACCTCAAAGCTCGTTGCAGTAGAAAGGCCTTGCATGTCAACTTCAAGGACATGGGCTGGGACGACTGGATCATTGCACCCCTGGAGTACGAGGCCTTCCACTGTGAGGGACTGTGTGAGTTCCCCTTGCGCTCCCACCTAGAGCCTACAAACCATGCTGTCATCCAGACCCTGATGAACTCTATGGACCCTGAGTCCACACCACCCACCTGCTGTGTGCCCACACGGCTGAGTCCCATTAGCATCCTTTTCATCGACTCTGCCAACAACGTGGTGTATAAGCAGTATGAGGACATGGTTGTGGAGTCTTGTGGCTGTAGGTAGCAGCACTGGCCCTCTGTCTTCCAGGATGGCACATCCTGAGAACCCCTCCTCACACTCCTGGGATCACAGAGGGGTTGTAAAACTGCAGCTGGAAGCATCAGTACAGACTGCAGGAAAGGGGACTTCAGCAGCCTTGCTTATTCTCTAAGTGCAATTTGAGCTAAAGATCCCCTTCCATCTGCAAGTGCCCCATCTGAGGAGTCCAGTCCTTCTGCTCCTCTGACTGGCAGGGATAGCTCCAGCAGACAGAGTTTGAATGGGACTGAGACCCAGGAGAGATGTTCTTCAATGAGACTTAGCCCACCATCTTTCCTCATCTGGGCTTCCTCAGTCTCCAAACTGTCCCGAGGGGCTGGTGCTAGCCTAAGCACTTCCTGGGAGAGCCATAGGTGCCATCTCCTCTTTGAATCACCTTTGTGCCTGGACCAAGGAGGGAGAGGGGGAGAAAGTTTGGACAAGGGTAAAGGATGTCAGCCTATTAAACTGCTACATTAAAATGTACATTGATGAGATAAAAAAGCAAATCATGCCTAAAATTGCGGCAGATTTCATATCGTGTTTACTCCAGGGAACCCATGACTCCTCAAAGAATTGCTGACCCAGAGAGGGAAGGTAGATGCCTCAGGTATAAACTATTTCCCAGGCTTAGGCCCCACCCCCACTCCTGGGAACTGGAGCAGAATGGGGCAGAGTACAGCTGGTCAGGGCCAGTGCTCACCTCTAACCCCATTCCTGATCCTTCCAAAGGCCTATTGGTCCCCAGCTCCTTCTGTTCCATTGGGGCCTAGCAAAGGCTTAGCGTTTTACATTCCTTAGTCAAGTTCACTGTTTCCCAAATGAACTCTTAGTGGAAAGGGATATTGGGAGACTTGATTTCCTTTAAAATCACCTCTACTTCATTCACTAGCAGCTGTCCTATCCCCTGTCCCTTACTCCTCCAAATTACAGAATTGATTGGGCCCCATTTAGAAGACTCTGTACTTTTCCACTGGGGGATCTGAACTGCCACGGGTCTCTGCCTCCCTATGGTGGCATCTTGTTTTTGCCGTGACCACTGTTCCTCACATGGTCTGGTCTGTGACTCTGCTGTTCTCCAGCCCAGCATCATCAGAGCTCTTCACTGCTCACTTATTACCTCCCACAGCTTCAGAGTCCCTTCACATTTCACATTATAGAAGTGCATAATTACACATGAGTCTTCCGGCTGACCTCAGACAGACTGATAATGCCAGGCACATCCTAACAATGCTTCCTGCTTGGAGCATGGCCCAGAGTAAATGCTCACTTCTTTTTCTTAGCCAGAATCTTTGTGGAGGTATGGGACAACAGCTATTGGGGAGGAGAGTCTCCTGGTGGGGAATTTAGGTACCTGGATCCTTGAGCTGAGGCTCAAGGCCAGGTTCTACCTGGCTGAAGAAAGACATAAAGACCAGGAGAAGTCCAAGCCTTTGGTTCCCACCCAGAGGGCCTCAAAATTTTCCCCACCTCTCTCCAGCTGGGTCTTTGATTCCCAGGGCTCCCAGCCAAAGCTGTCTCAATAGTAGGGATCCCTGCCCAACAATGGGCAGATTTTGTGTCCTTTCCCTCTGAGTTGTCAAGACCTGAAGTAAGAGCCCAGTGCAGGGGCAGCCTACTTTTGAACTGCCTCCTTGGTTTGGAGGCCATTACCTGTCCCAGAGGAGCCAGATGGAGTTTGGAACTGAGTTCTCCCTGGCTAGGCTTCGTTGTGTTTGGCTGGTGGTGAGCCTGGGAGTTCTGGAAGTAAACAAAGGAGCTACCACAGCAGACAGAGGCCTGGTGTGTGAGAGAGGAGAATGAGCCTGAAGGAAGGTACTAGCAAGGCCAAGGAGACAACTATAGATACAGAGAGAGCTGTGTAGGAATTAGGTGGCTGCAAAACCCAGGGCAGGGAGACGGGATGAAGGGGTCACAGTGGTACTGGCTACCCCATGTGCTTATTTCCTGGGCTGTGCATCTCTCATTTCTTGGAAAGTTCTCCCTGCCTTAGCCCCAGCAGAGCACCAACTGAATCACGTGCTTTTCTTGCTGAAGGGTTAGGCTTTGGATGAATGGTCACAGCTCTTAGGAACTTCCTCTTCCACCCCAAACTGCTCTGAACTCTCTTTCACAAAGGAGCCACTCAGACTGTGCACCCCTCTTAGCCTAACTCTAGAGATCTAGGGATGTGAGTGGGACAGGCCCTTCCAAACCCAACCTTCAGATCTGGGCAATGGCCTCCTTGGAGAACTCTCTGGCCAGTCACAAGAAGCAGTATACTTGTGTAATAGATTCTTGCTCAAAGAAGGCTTATCCAGGCTGAGGAGATGGATCAAGCTGGTAAAGTGCTTACCACATAAGCATGAGGACATGAGCTTGGATTCTCAGAACCCATGTAAAAGGCCAGGCACAGCAGCCTGTGTCTGTAATCCCAGTGCTGGGAAGAAGAGATAGGTAGTTCCTCAAAATTTGCTGGCCAGCCAGTCTAGGTGAATTTTTAAGTTCCATGTTCAGTAAGAGATCTTATCTCAAAAAATAAGATGGAGAATGACTGAGGAAGATACCATCGAACTCTAGCCACCACATGTATGTACACAAATGTGCACATGTACACACAAAGAACAAAAGGCTTATGTCCATACTCTCCTATCCACAGTTTCCCAGTTCTGAAGGGTTCAAAAGGCTGTACAGTTTCAAACTTCATTTCTGTCTTCTATCGTTTAAAGTTACAGGTCTTGGACAAGAAATGGGTCTTGCCATGTAGCCAAGCTAACCTCTAACTCACTACACAGTTGAGGCCGGCCTGGAATTTGGAATCCTCTGTCTCAGTGTTTGAGCTTGCAGGAAATCACCGTCATGTCCAGCTTGGTTTCTCATTTGAGGAAGGAAGGAAGGAAGGAAAGGAAGGAAGGAGGGAGAGAGGGAAGGAGAGAGGGAAAGGAGGAGGGACGGAAGGAAAGAAAAAAATGCAGATAAACAATATACCTATTAACTATTTCATAAAGCTGTGAGGATGTGAAAGGCACTGAACTTAGGTGATAGAAGGTGGCATTCAGTAAATATTAGCTATTGTCATTGGTGTTGTGCCTCAAATTGTCTTAAGAAGCAGGCAGGATGAGAACTACTGCCTCCTGTCACTTTCTTTTCTTTTTCTTTCTTTCTTTTTTCTTTTTCTTTTCTTCTTTTTGAGACCAGGTCTCCCTGTAGCTTCATCTGGCCTGGAACTCCCTATATAGACTAGGCTGACCTCGAACTCACAAAGATCCACCTGCCTCTGCCTCCCGAGTGCTGGGATTAAAGGCGCGTACTTCCATGCCCAGTTCTGCCTCCTGTCATTTTTACAGATAGGAAGCTGATACCCAGGGAGGAGTTGCAGAGTGGCAACCACAGATCTCCTGAAGACCCCCTCATCCTTCATACCTACTCTTCTGGGCCCCTGAATCTACTGACCCTTGTCTTGGCAAGCAATTGAGTCACCTCCCTGGCCCTTGTCTCCCTGGCCCCAAAAGTATCTCCTTGGGGATATACCATGTTGTTAGTTCCTTGGGAAAAATAGCAGAGCAGAGTTTAGGGCAGGAAACATGAGAGGCCCAGAGGGGGAGGAAAGCAGGGAGGCATCCAGCACTCTGTTCCCCATCTCTTGGCCCTTTCCACATCCTGTGTCCCAGGGTCATAACAGGAGAAATAACTTCTCTAGGGCTTGGGACATACAACCTTGGAAAGCCTTATAGCCTTTATTCTGACTCCGCAACTGGCTCTTCTGATTGAAACACAGATGAGGAAGCACAGCAAGACAGGGTTAGTCACAGGAGTCAGGTGGTTGTAGCCCTGGTTCTACTACTTTGCAGCTGAGTCAAGTTAGGTAACCTCTCTAAACCTCAGTCTCCCTGTCTGTAAAAGAGGGTTAATATTCCTTTAATCCCAGCACTCTGGAAGCAGAGCCAGGTTGTTCTCTGATTTTGAGGCCAGCCTGGTCTCCAGAGCAAATCCAGGCCAGCTGTGGCTGCAGAGGGACCCTGTCTCAAACAAACAAACAAACAAACAAACAAACAAACAAACAAAAAAGAGAGATAATATAAAATGTATGAATCCTTAGATTCAGGATATGAGGTTCATTTATTGCATCAATCTTTGATCTAGTCACTCATTCATTAATCAATGGGTATTTATTGAAGGTCTATTCAGGAACAGATGCTGTGCTGTTGGGATGATGATAAATACAACTTGTTCATGTTTGCCAAGGGCTTGTCATGTGTCAGGTTCTTGTACTTAGCACTTTATGGGAATTTCCCTACTTTACCATGTTCTTAAGTTTTATGAATAAATGGCAAAGTAAATAAAGAACCCAAAGGAAGCTGGAGATAAGGAAGGTTGAATGAGAGTAGATGAAATAAAACAGGTAAAAAGTCAAATTATCTATTTAAATTCATAAGAACAACTGCACAAGTATGGGATATGAAAAAAATGTGATTTTACAACTTCAGATCAGAAAGGAATGGTGTTGTAGGTGGCTGTGAACCAGCGGAGTTAACAGACTATGCTATGGCTGCCTAAATGCTAATACAAGGGCGAGCGTCAGGACTGGGGAGATAGTTCATAGTTCAGTGGCAGATTGCTTGCCTAGGATGTGCAAGACCCTGGGATTGAACCCCAGCACTGCAAGAAGAAAAAAAGAAAAAGAAAAAGCAATCAGGAAAAATGTGGGTTTCATTAACAAGTTAGGTGGCATAGAAACTCAAAGGCATTGCTTCCACTGTTTCTTTTCTTTTCTCTCTCTCTCCCTCCCTCCCACTCTCCCTCCCTCTAGCCCTCTCTCTTGCCTCCATTTCTCATTTTTTTGTTTGTTTGAGACAGGGTTCCATATAGCCCAATCTGGCCTCAAAACTTGCTATGTAGCTAATGATGGCCTTGAACTCTTGATCCTCCTGCCTCCACCTCCCAAGTCTTGGATTATAGGAGCATGCCCCAGATCTGGCTTTATTTAGTGGTTTTCTCACTTTGCCTAAGCCATTATGGAGGGAATAGAGGAGGGTATAATCATGAGAGGTCTAAAAATACTGTCTTAAGAGATTCAGGTGGAGAAACTAAGGCTACAAAGTTAGAGGAGGGAGAGGAGCAGGAGATCAGCAGGCGTTTAGAAGAAACATGATCACAGCAGTCAGGAACTGAAGGACTACTATAGGTAGAAGAGACTCCACCAGAATGTCTGATTCCAGAGGATAGGGCATTGAATAAAGAGATTCATATCCAATTGCCTCTGTGTTTCATGCTGTTCCAGGCACTGTGCTAAATGCTCTCACTCATTTAAAGAATCATATTGTTTATTTACTATATGTGCACATATGTTAATGTGCAAATTATGTGAATGTGAGTACAGGTGCCTGAGGCAGCCTGAAGAGGGTGCTGGAGCCTCTGGGTCTGGAGTTACAGGTGGTTATGAGA